AAACAGACAGAACACAGAATGAAAGTGGAGTGAAACAGAGAAATACTGGCTTTCTTGTTGAATCTGTAATTTAAAGAGGACATATTATGCTCTTTTTCAGGTTCATATTGTATTGTGTGCCTCTACTGTGACATGTCTCCATGATTTAATGTTCAAAAAGCTCCTTATTTCCCTCATACTGCCTGTGCTGCAGCACCTCTTTCACCCTCTGTCTGAAAGCCGAGCCGAGTCTGCTCTGATTGGTTAGCTGGCCGGCTCTGTTGTGTTTGGTCAACCGCTAAGAGATATCCTGCCCCTTAGCCAATTACTTACAATGTGTGGGAACGCGAGCCAATAGAAGCGTGAGTGTTACATAGTGATTTCATTATGTTTCTGCAGTAAAGTTTACAAAGGAGTCTCCATTGAGGCGATTCTGGTGTGAACTTTGGGATTTTAGTCTTTGCAGACCATTCACATGCACCAACATCTATAAACACACTACAGGAAAGGGGAAACCCAAGAACGCAAAATAGGGCCCCTTTAAAACCCAACAGGTTATCTTAGTCAAATTGAGGTGGAAGATTTGAATGTGCTTCTCAGATTTGATTCCACATGAAATATATTAACTTTTCATTTTAGCTATATTTTGGAAAATGATGCTTTATGTTTTGGCTGTTTTCTTGACTATTGTCTTTTTCGTTGTCTGTTAATCTTATTGTTTGTAAGGTGACCATTTGTCTGGGTCTGGAATTTATATTATGTAACATTTCTGTTAGGTAACATTGAGTGTGTAACCTTTATGTCTCATGAAATATTGCTGATGAAATCATAGCTGCGGCCTCTCGAGAGTGAAATGTTTATATATTCCTTACCCTGCTTATGGTGCCTCTTCTTCACCTCGCAGTTTCCCTCCTCGTTCTCCTCCAACGGAGCGAGGCAGGGGCCACATCGGGAGGAGCCCGGCCTGCAGAAATGGCGTCCGTCTTTGGCACAGTCTAAATGGCGAGGGCATTTACTGCTAACTGAGAGAGAAGGAGAGAGAACAACAGTTTATTAGTATCCCCACTACACTGCTGTGATGCAGAAATTATGCTTTTAATGAGGCAGTTAAATAGCAGTCTATATGCGAAACAGAGTACTATTAAAATGCTCTCAATAGGAGATGCTTCAACTTCATTACACACACTCCTTTCATGAGTGGATGTGTCAGCTCTTCTGCCCTCGAACTGAGCGACTGCTGACGTCAGAAAAACGTCATGGAGTTTGTGAAAATACTATTATTGTTCGTTGTGACTTCATCACAGCTTACTAACGGTCGAGGTTACCCAGATAGGGCACGGATGTAAGGCGAGTCAGAAACAGTCATTATGATTTTGTTCTGCATATGTGATGACCCCCATCTGTTTGCTAATATTAAAAATGTAAAGAGTGATCGACAGCTGCTCTCATACAGATCTGCCCGTAATCAGGCTAGATAATCACTCGGCCTGATTACTGCCTGTCTTAAACAAAAACAGTACACACACACACACACACACACACACACACACACACACACACACACACACACACACACACACACACACACACACACGNCTCATTATCCGCTCCGATAGCTGCTCCACCTGCCCTCTGCCGAGAAACACACCTGCTGTGGTTCTGCAACCCACTTCTTTGTGTGTGTGTGTGTGTGTGTGTGTGTGTGCGTGTGTGTGTGTGTGTGTGTGTGTGTGTGTGTGTGTGTGTGTGTGTGTGTGTGTGTGTGTGTGTGTGTGTGTGTGTGTGTGTGTGTGTGTGTGTGTGTGTGTGTGTGTGTGTGTGTGTGTGTGAGATAAGAGCTAGCTCTGCTTCTGCTCTCGTTGACATTCCCCCTCACTGCTCTACTCACTCTTTGTGTCACTTAATGTCATGCCCTCTGATTCATTGCCTGTATGATCAACAATCTGGTTGATTTTCAGAAAATTGGTTACATTTCTAGCTGGTCTCGAATTTGAGTTGGTCGCCGACTCGCCTTCCAATCAATGTTCCATATTTCCACAATGCTTCTGTTTAAAACTGCAGTCAGCTTATTTGTTGTCTTGGAGTAGTATTTCACAAGGTGTGGCTATAAGGGTAATCTTCACTTTGACTTTGCTGTGAGAGAAGCAGTCTTCCCTTTTTAGATAGAATACAATTATTAGCAAGTAATTATGTTTTTAATTGCTGTTTGTTTAAAATGCTGTCAATATTGTTTGGGTTGCAGACAGTTGTATTTTTTAAATACCTTAATTGGAATTGTAAATGGAAACAATAGATTTAGGTTCCTTGTTTAAGTTATCTACTTCATTCCCAGTCCATTGATCCATTCATTATGATTCCATGAACATTTGAATACTACTATTGTGCCTGGTCTTCATTAGTGTTGCTGTAATGATAATTTAAGTTTGTCTATTTTATTATAGAAAGTATTTAAATACTTTACCTGAAGTAAAGTATTTAGATAAAGATACTGAAAATCGTTGGTTATTGTGCTATTAACCTGTTAACGGGGGCTATGGGGCTTAACAGGCTTTTTTTTCACAAAACTGTGTCTCAGGGCTTCTTCAAATGTAATAAACTATGAACGCGTCATACTCACTTAACGGGAAGAAACTCAGCTAACTGACGATATGAACCATTTTTAACGAAACAAAACACAAGTCTCATAAGAAGCGTCTAAATGAGCCCTGAGCTCAAAAACGCTTTTAACACAGAACTCTAGGTATAAATCAATCGATCGATATACTTATCGGATCTGCACAAATGAGCTTTGCTAACATGCTGAGATTCCACAGATTCTATAAATATAAGTATCATCACTGAGCGATCAGAACTTGTGACAGGGGAAGCAAAACCAGACAACACACAACGTAGCTTTAGGTAGCAAAAAACTGAGATATGCTCACCTTTTGCTGCTATTCTGATCAAAGGTTGTGTTCAATGGCATTAAAACGAAAAAAACGCTGCTGAAGGTTAATCCATAGG